CTAGAGTTTTAAATGAAAATTGGGAGGAATTTTAAAACGGATATAGATCACAAAGAATGAATAGAATGTTTTCAGGATAAAACATTTGAAAGTGATCAATGTGAAATCAAGTTCTATTCTCTTTCATTTCAGTGTTAGAAAATCTTTGCCCAATAAGTTAAATAAATGAATATTAGGCCACATATTGCATTTTTATCTTCTTTACATAAAAAAGTTCTATAATCATAGGAGAGAAATGATTATATGAAAAATGCATTTTCTACTCTTACCATACTATATTCTCTGTAAAGAAATGAATAGTAATCAAAACATTTAATAAAAGAAGATTAAAAATAAAGAAAGTATTATAAATGACTAATGATTACTTAAAAGATTCATTAAACTCTTCATTTTATGCTAATATATTGTTTTTTAATATCTACTTTTTAATTGGAACCAATTGAGGTAATATATCAGTCCGGCCATAAATAAAAAACCCTTATGATAAAATGCATTTTCTACTCTTACCATACTATATTCTCGGTAAAGAAATGAATAGTAATCAACAGGGCCGGCCCGAACATATTGAGAGCCCTGTTCAAAATGTAATTGGAGGCCCTAAATCATAAAATATACGAAGTCAAATTAAAGCAAGCATTAAGAAAAGTGTAAGAATATTTCGCGATAAACGTATAATATTTTATTTTCCTAACAAATAAAACATCATAACTCCCAAAAACATATTAGTCGTGCTTATAAAAAGAGTCAGGCTACTCGAGAAGATTAAAGACATGAAAACATAGTATATTGTACATATGCCCGTGAAGAACATGATAATACCTTACATACAAAGATGGAAAAAATATTGAGGTGTGGAAGTAGTGCTGAACAGTGCAGAGCTCAAATGTGAAAGGCCGAACTTATCCTTCTGCTCCACTTTGGATTCAGATTTTAGCAGAAATCGTAGGAAATTATTTGACACAAACTGTTTGAAGAAAAAGATCTAGTAGAATGGATTTGACAAAGAAATTAAAAGAGCTTAAATTGGTCGAGCCACTTGGTCGTCAATCAAAATTTTGTAATTCTTTAAGTGGTATGTTTTACGAGGAGTCACGATTGAAGATGATGACTTTTTCTTCCGAAGAACCGCATCGTTCATTCTTCCATAAGCATAATATATATTGGGGGTTTTCTAAATATTAAATACACCAGCCATTTTATTGCTCCAACTAATGGTACTAATGTATGAACTAAAATTGAGGACCCTCCTTTAGTGGAGGCCCTGTTCCACTGCACCACTTGCACTCCCTTAGGGCTGGGCCTGGTACTAATCAAAACATTTAATAAAAGAATAATAAAAAAGAAGAAAGTATTATAATTGACTAATGATGGCCATTTGTGTTAGGAGAAGGCATATTAGGAGGCCATTCCAAGGAGAAAAGTTCATATGCAAACTAAAGATAAAGAAATTAAAGGGAGAATGAGAGTGCATTTGCTTAATTAAGTATAGTATCTCTCAGAAAACATGATTTTTAATATTTACTATCATTGTACTCTGTAGTTATAAAGACTCATAACGGAAGAGAAAACAATTATATGAAAATAGTTTCAGTAATTTTTTTAAAATAATACTCCCTCCGTTCCTAAATAAACTTCCAACTTTCTTTTTTCGTCTGTTCCAATTAAATTTCCACTTTCCCTTTTTGGTAAAGAATTTGTGGTTCACAACATTTCTTACACATTTCTCTCTCCTCTGCACAACTCTCCACCACACAATACTCACTTTCTTAAATTGTGTGCCAAAGTGGGTTGGAAGATAAAATAGGAACGAAGATAGTAGCAAAAGCAGAATTAAAAAAAGAAGCAAAGAGAAATGACTATTTTGAAATACACACAACGGAGAGGAGTCGCCCCATTTGTGTTGGGAGAAGGCATGCATGGAGGCTAGGGATGGATTCGGTTCGGGCCACCCGGCCCGTGACCCGGCCCGACCCGGTACTGTGCGGGCCCGGGACCGGCCCGGTCGGGCGGTCCGGGACCGGCCCGGTCGGGCGGTCCGGGACCGGGTCTGGGCCCGAACCGGGGGGAAGGGGTGGGGCGGGCTCGGTTCATCATTTTTGTGACCCGGCCTGGCCGGGTCGGGCCCGGGTCCGGGTCTATTTTAAAAAAAAAAACTTTTTTTTTTTATTTTTGGCTACTAGCCGTTGAGGCCTTGGGGGTGGGGCTGGGGACAACCCAAACGGCTATATAGCCGTTGGGTGGGGTAAAGGGGGGGTCCGGGGGGGTTGGCTGGTAGGGGGTGGGGTGGGGGGTAAAAAAACCTATAAATTCTCCTACTCTTAAACATTTTTTCATATCTCTTCTCCAATTCTTCCTAAATCCTATTCTTAACTCTCTACTCTCTAATTCTCTTATTCTCCAATATATTATATATCTACTCTCTAATTCTCTTCTCCAAGAAGTTAAGATGGAAAATCAAAATGCCATTATACGGTATAATTTTGATAAGCAGAAGGACCCGAAGACCGGGATGTGGTACGCAATTTGTAAATGGTGCGAAAAAAAATGTATTATGGGGGCTTCAGGCGGATTCGGGATGGCAATCAAGCATATGAAGTCATGTGACAAAGCCAAAGGATCGGGAGGTGCAGGAAGTTCCGATTGATTACAATTTTCAAAATGTTTATCTCTTAAAGTTTGTTTTAATTTTCAAATGTAGTTCCTATTTCATTTCAAATAAATGCAATTGAAGTTTGTTTTTAATACTCGTATCAAACTATAAACTATAAAATATAAAATATAAATTATAAAAAAAAAAAATTAACCGGCCCGGCCCGAACCGGACCCGACCCGTGACCCGGGCGGGTGGCCCGGCCCGAACCGGACCCGTCCAACCCTCGGGCCGGTCCCGGGCCCACTGTTCTTGAACCGGCGGCCCGACCCGGCCCGAATCCATCACTAATGGAGGCCAACCTAAGGAAAAAAGGTCAATAAGTAATAGACAGACTAAAATGACCAATTTTCCTTTTCAATTTAATCCTCCCTTCATGTAAAAACTCTCAAAAAAACTCATAAGCAAAAACTCTCAAAAGCAACTGATAACACACCATAAGCTTGTATGCGTGTGTCTGTTTATTGAGGAGTTTAAAAAATAACTCAGAGTTCTTTTATGACATTGTTCATTAGCTAAAAAAATAACTCATAATTGATTTTCATAGAAGAGTTTAAAAAAACTAATAAATATGACATTGTCCATTAGCTCTTTTATTTTGCATACACAATTGTTTTATGTGACCATTTTTCATCATTTGCAATGGAGCCAAAGATTCATTATTTTTCGGCTTGAGATTATGATGGAATAAAGCAAAATGGCTCACTAAACTGTCCGTGTTTCTTTGTTATGGAGCAGCAGTCAGTCCATGCAATTTTGGACGCGATTTTCACTATGGGTCATCCGGAAACAGTCTCTCTGTGCTTTAGTACAGGGGTAAGATTGCGTACATCCGACCCCCCCTTACTCCACCGTAGGTGGGAGCGTTTGCGGCACTGGGTAAATGAAAATGAAAATGAAATGAATTGTTTTATGTGACCAGCTTGGCTAATGGACAATGTCAATTATGTCATATACGGTGGTGCACTAAAATGCAATTTTTCTTTTCAATTTAATCCTCCCTTCCCGCAAAATCTCTCAAAATAACTCTCAATGAACAGTTGAAATTATCAAAATGCAGAGCATATAAGGCAAGTTTATTAACTAAAATAACTGCATTTTGTATAACACATTTTCAAAGATAAATAGGCAAAGCCCTAATGAATTCTACATAGTGTAGGTCACCTGTGACTATCATACATCAACTGCTGAGAAGCAGTACAAATTTTTAAGCCATTTTTAGGCCATTTTTAAGTTGATCATCAATAAGCAGTACTTGTATCCATTGCACCTTAAAAGATCGTCTATTCCATGGTTTCATTCACGATAAGATATTATTAGAGCAACTGATAACAACACAGAACCAGGTGATAACAACTGTAAAAGAAATTAAAACATAACAGAAGTCTAGTAGATTTACCTCCTCATCCATGAGAACCATATCTACCATATATGGGTCGTTTGGATTGCTCTTGCTAGGGATGATCTATTTGCGCACAACTCTAAGCAAAAGTACAGCCTTGTCATCCAACTGCAAATCAATATTCTTTAAAAGAACCTTGAATGGAGCCAGATTGAGAGTTGGAGTCATTGAGTTGCAGGTGCAATGGAGACAGTAAATTTATGCAGAAAATTGGGAAAATGATCAAATAAGCCCTCAAACTAACTTAAAAAGTGCAAATCACCCCTTATATAGGAGGCTCTGTTCGGACGTCGCCGTTTGGGGTGGTTCCCAGTGGAATTATTTAATTAAATTTTTTGAGCATCTTCTTCATTAAGTCTAGTTTACCCATACCAAATTTCAGATGAAAATTCAATCGGTAAGGAAGTCAAATGAATTTTTGAAGATAACTGCACAGTTAAACAACGTAGTACATTTCAGAAAATCATTGACTGTCTTCCCGATTGAATTTTTATCTGAACTTTGGTATGGGTAAACTAGACTTAATGAATAAGATTCTCAAAAAAAATCATCAAAAAATTCCACCGAGAACCACCCCAAATGAAGACGGCCGGACAGAGCCTCCTATATAAGGAGTGATTTGCACTTTTTAAGTTAGTTCGATGGCCTATTTGACCCTTTTCCCGCAGAAAATTTGTAGAAGGAAGACTCAAATTTAGGGTTTTCGTTAGGAGTATGTATATGTATGTATATGTAGTGTTACAGATTGATACTACGGCAGAGATAAATTAGATAGAGATGGGGAGGGAGGATACGTAGAGAAGCGGAGGAGCTCGGGATTTAGAAGATTAGGAATTGACTAAAATACCCGGCGACGATTAGGCGGGAGAAACTCGCTTCACTTGGTTCGTTTAATCAATTATATAGATAAATATTAAACAATATAAATAATGAATAACTAATAAAACCGGCCAACGTGTGCGGTCAAGTGCATGCATGCATGCAAATAAGTATCAACACATAGAAGCACAGAATTTTGGGTGCACGTTTCTTTTGTACACACTTCATTCACAACAATAATAATATGGTCAATGCTACAGTACTCCATTCACAATTGAGGTTAGCGTATCTACAACGGCCCATGTAGTATTTCATCATTTATTCATATTTAAATTATTACTCCGTACTTCACTACTATAGTCTAATTGGTCCACATACACAAGCTACGATACCTTAAAAGTATAGTAGAATTGCCCTAATAATATAGACATATGTTGCAAGTACCACCTCCAAATGTTTTTAAAAGTGCTTCCCATGGTTTGAAAAATAAACTCATCACATATCCAAACCAGAATGATGAAAAATTGTTTCAAACCGATTGACCATTCTTTCCTGTAGATTCGGGCAAGCTGGACATGTTCACTTCAACTTCATTGTGGTGCTTTTGCCAACCACCATTGGCAGCCTTGGAATGTGACCAATAGTACAGAGTGGAGCAAATCATTGAGAGAATTGTCAATGCTGCTCCTGCAGCAAACACGCCTTTGCGCAGTGTAGCACATGACAAGTCGTCACCCCCGAAGATTCCTCTGTATTTAGTGTGGTATGCATTCCTTGCTGATCCACCCAATAAACAAGCCTCTGCCCCTAAAAAGCAAACCCTGTATTGTTGAAAAGATTATGTCGTAATTAATACTCTAGTTCCATATACCTTAATGCATTGACTTGATCAGATTCACACAGTTCCCTCCTCTAGATGCCACACTACTACACTAATAACCATGCGAGAACTAAACTAATTACCAATAAATTATGACTCAGGTTATGTCAAACCTGAAGGAAAAGTTCTCTGATGTCTTATAGTTATTGGTATGTCATTTTATATTTAGCCCAATTGGGGATAGAAGGGCTCTTCAATATTCTCCTGCTCAACTTTTATTCAAGAGTCAAAACTAAATAACATTTAGTAAATAAATGGGAAAAATAGACAAGCCAATTAGCCAAACAAAGATACACTCACCCTCAGTTCAATGTGAAGTTGCTTAGCATCAACTATTCAGCAACACTTATACAACTTATAGGACTGGTCAAGTGATCTTCAAGAATCAAGATGGTTTTTGCCACAAGAGTTGGAAGCTTTATATTGTTTATAATAATGGTGCAAGAATACTCTCATAAATTCTTTGGAGCAACAATTTTTTTAGAATACGGTCATTATGTATGAAATGTGAACTTCATAACAGAAAACAGCAGTTATACAACCCGTCTAAGTTGTCAAAAACTCAGATGTCGGACCTAATAGCGATGGGAAGGCGGGTAGAGATGCTAAATAACGTACATCAGACTGGTTTTTGGTTTGACATATAGCTTATTGGCACTTTGTTAATGCATACATAAGTTGTCAAGGCTCATGCTGAACGAGTGGAACCACATTAGTGGAAGATCTCATCAAGACCGACTTTGTAGAAGTCCACTCCAAAATCATACTAACTCTATTTGTGTGTGCTAGCATCATTTCAATATCGTCAATCTACTACTCAATATCCCCCCCCCCCCCCCCCCCCCCACTTTGCTATAGGTTGGATGATCCCTAGCAGAACGAGGCTTCCTTAAACAAGAGAACATTCAGCAATCAGAAGCATGTTTCATACACCAATAAGAGGAGATCTATAGGGGGCAAAAACGAGCAAAGTGAAATGTAGTAGGAGACTGTTAGAGTTTGAATAGAGGGGTTCCGGCCCCTTGTATTTTACTCATTTCAAATCCCCCTTTTTATAGCATAGGTTATACACACCAAAGCAAACAAACTAGGAATGATACTCATTTGAAAGACATACAATCCTTAGCCGAACTGGAAAGTAATCAAGTATTATGATCCTGGAAAGAATCAGAAGGCAGAAGCAATTCAATAACCATTTTTTTCATGTGGAAAACCTGACAATAGCCTCATGAACTCTTTTTACATATTCCTAAACAACTTTCTATCTTGATCATTCTTTATCAATCCTTAGATGTCTCAATTTCCTCCAAGAAGTATTTTCAGTGTCATAACAAAATCCATCAAAAGTGCCCATCCAAATGGTGGGGGTGGGTAACGATGGCATCAACTTCAAAGGTCTTTGAGTCTGCCGCATCAATTTTCAATGATTTCATTGATATTGATTTGGAACTCTTAAGTATGAGGAAGGATGGGGTTTTCATTACAGAGGACCTTTTAAGTACTTAAAATTTGAGGAAGGTGAGCTCAAGAGTCCATACATCGTAAATTCGTAATATAGGGACCAGAGCAAGAAAAAATTTCAAGCTTACCAAGAGAAGAAGAATAGAGCAGGAGTTGCAGATTTCCCAGCCAGTGCCCCTCTTCCTAAACACAAACATTTGGTAACAGCGTTCACAACCGCTTGGCTGATGAGAAGCAGCCCAAACGCCCCCAATCCGTACGCCGTGGATGCGTCCGTTCCGTACACGCAGTACGTCCTCTCGTCATACTCATCTGGCACCACTTTTGCCTTTCGTATCCATTTTTAAAAAACACTGTAAGTGATTAATACAGCCACCGACAAAGGAATTATACTATTCGAACTTCGAAGGGTTAGTTTTTCCCATGAGCAGAGCTGATTAGAAGAAAAGTACAAGAAAAACGCAGTGATATTTTGAGCAGCGAAGCAATAAATGAGAAATGGAGTTACCGTGCTACGGCGCCTTTCCGCACCGACGGCGAGAATGAAGGCTAATAGGTGAAAGGATATGAGTAGAGCTAGAACAGGTATAGAGACCGCCATTAATGGTAGCCGGTGTTCTTGATCCGATTTTTTTCTACTTGGAGTTGCTGTCCGGCGATGGATTTTTGTTCACTTTGTCCCCAGTAAAACAACGGCTATTTGGTTTTACAGAGCCTGCTATGTTTGCTTTATGGACTTTATTGCCCGAGTTCTTGTCTTGGCTCATCTAGCTATTGATGTACACATTGTGTAACGTAAAGCTATTTCCAAACATAAAGGGTATGTTTGCCAAATGGCTTATCAGCCAGCTTTTAGCTTGTTTGATCCATTTCAACTGTTTGATTAGTAAAAGAAGTTAATAATAATGTTTGGTAAATGGCTTTTAAAATTACTTGTTGAGTTTGAAAAGCTGAAAAAATGGATTGTGGAAAAAGCTAAGGGGAGCAGCTTCTTCATTTGGCTGGTTCAATTTACACTCTATCAGCCATTTCGAAAGAGCCAATTTTACCAAACAGTTATTTATAATCAGCCAACATAACCAGTCGGTCAAAACAGCTAACACAACCAGCTGTTGCGAAACAGCTGACACAACCAGCTACCAGCAACAGCTAACAACCATTTACTAAACAAGGCCAAAGGGAAATAGGTCCCTTTACTTTCAAAAAAATTGAAATTTACAAGACAAGATTTCAAATTTAATATAAAAAACTATCAAATTAATCCTCTCACTTCAAAAAAAATTGAAATTTACAAGAGCAAGAAAAATTTCAAGCTTAATATAAAAAACTGTCAAATTGATTCTCGTACTTTCATTAAAAAATCAATTAGATCCTCATATTTTTTAAAAAATCAATCAAATCCTCAAACTTTGTAAAAACGTTTATTTGAGTACATTTGCAGGTTACTTGTCATGTCATCAGGTCACCCGCTGACGTGGCGCGCACATGGCGGTCCACATGTGCGCCACGTCGTCAGTAAATCGCTGACTGGACTTTCACATGTGTGTCACATCAGCAAAATTATTGCTGATCGGACTGCCACATGTGCGCCACGTCAGCGGGTGACCTGCTGACATGACAAGTAACCTGCAAATGGATTCTATTGAACGTTTTTACAAGGTTCGGGGATATGATAGATCTTTTTAAAAGTACAAGGACTTAATTGACTTTTATGAAATTACGAGTACCAAAATGACAGTTTTCCCAATCAGAAATGAAAAATTTTATTTGGCTTAAAATTGACTGAAATGGCTATTTGCGTTAAATTGATTTTATTCTAATAAAATAAAAAATATTATATGAAAATTATTTCGATTGACCTTCCTAAAATCATTTCTAAATTATCTTATTACATAAAAGAATTCTCTTAAAATTTCATCTTTTTGCATGACATAATAAAACATGCCCTTTCCTTCAAATAAAAAATAAAACATGGCCATAGCAAGACATAGCGATCGTCAATAATTACTATCAAGAGAGTGAGTGTAATTTGAATTGCTCGTTCGAGTTTGATTGGACTAATCTGGTACAAAAATGATGTTTGTACACACTCTTATACACACTTTTGTACGCACCTATGTCTGTAAAAGCTTTTTTTGTCTGTGAACATTGATTCACAGACAATGTTTTGCACAAACAAAATATTATCTGTGAACCGGATTCACAGACAAAAAAAAACTTCACAAACATGGTGTGTATAAGGTGTGTACAAGGGTGTGTACATCAAGAATGGTTGAATCTTGTAATCCTTAACCAGACATAGCAAATCGTTTGTAATTACTAAGAGTTATCAAGAGGGTAATTAAAAATACAAAATCTAGAATCAATTTGAGTTACTTATCCAAACCTCTGACTCAACATATTTTAACCGAGTTTCATGCCTGATGGCCGTTCAGAACTAATTGGACAGTTGATCACACTCTAATCGAAAGAGAGTGAGGTTTCTCTCCTGTAATTGCTTGGAGTTAAATTTGAGACCTCTCACTTGTGGAACCATCATCCTACCAAGGGAGCTACGACCCGTTTTTTTTAAACGAGTTGCAGACTTACAATCAACATAGAACTGATTACTTTCATGTTTTGACCATTTCAGACTTTAAACATGGCAGTAATTTTCAAAATGACATTAATTACTCCTATTTTGAGAATAAAAACGTGAGAATTCTATTTTGAAATTTTTAACATTATTTTACTTCTATTTCGGGAATTTTCCTTAACATATTCCAATCAACTTTAAGCGGTGAAATCAATCTCCAACTTCTAAGCAAAATGCTTAAACCATGAAATTAAAACAACTGTAGTTGGGTAAATCTAGGGGTGGACTCGAACCGGGCGGGGCCTGTCCACAGGCCGGGTGGCCCGACCCGAGTCCAAGCCTAGGTAAATCTTTGTCAATTTTGATCTCTTTTTATTTGTGCAGGCAGCCCTAATATTTGGAGCCATTTTATTGCATTTGAAACTGTTGTAGTTAACTTTCAACTCTTCATGTATTCTAGGGATGGACTAGGTCGGTTCAACCTAGCCCGGCCCATTACAATGCGGGACCTGCCCGGCCCGGTTGACCGGGACCGAGACTGAGGACCCGAACCGGGGGTATTAGGAGCGGGCTTGGGGCTGCTTAAAAGGTGGACAGGTCCAGTCGACCCGGGCCCAATTTTCTTTTTTTGATTTTTTCCATTTTAAGGGCTACTAGCCTACTAGGTAGGTGGAGCTGGGTGGTTTGGGGGTGGCGGGTATGAATAAATTAGAGAAAAAAATACCTAGACCCGACCCGGTACAAACACGGGCCGGTACCAGGCCTGCAACCCAAAAACCCAGGCCCGCCCAATCCCGTCCCGAGTCCCGGTTCATCCCTACCTACTTCACCTACCCTCCAGATTAGGGATGGACCCAGGCCAATCCGGTTCCGGTTCCAAGCCGGGCCCGAGCGGGCTTTTTTTGCAAATCCTTGGGCCCGGAACCGGCCCGGGTTGATACCAGGTCCGGGCCTAACCGGGCCGGGCCCGGTTCAATGTCTAATTTTTTTTTTGCTTTCTTGTTATCCCCCGACCCCCCCCCCCCCCCCCCCCCCCGCCCGGGCCGATTCGCCCAAAACTGGACCCGAGCCCGACCCGCCCAAACGGGCTTAAAGCCCAGAACCGGCCAACCGGTCCCGGTCTGGTCCGGGCCGGCCCGGTTTAGTCCATCCCTACTCCAGATCACCGATGGAACCTGGAAAAATTTTACGGAGTATCATAAGTTCTATTTTGACAAATGCATGAATTAATTTCATTGCAATTAACTCCACAAAATCCAGATCTATATATTCATACCGATAATAAGTTGTAGGAAAAGGTAGTATTTGCGGCGCCCCAAAGCACCTCAGCATGAGTTATTTCGATTAAATTTTACACCTTAGGGTTCAGCCTACTTTTTTTTTTTTACAAAAAATGGCTATTCACAATAAACAGGATGTGCGAATATCAAACTTTCCCTATACTAAAGAGCGCAATACAAGAAAATAAGACAACAAACCCGACATGTGCTGTTAAATAATACGAGAAATAAAGTAATTGACATTCTACAACACTACATGCTAACATGTTAAACTGTTAAAGAAACCAGTCAATGTTACACGAGGGGAAACTCGATTCAGACTAAAAACTCTGCTAAAACTCCCCCACAAAGTTGCAATATGTAGTACCATTCAGTCCCACATTTCATCCAGCCTGGAATAAAAATTAAAAAGGCCAGCTCTTTTAAACTATTATGTCGTGCTCACCGCCTCCAGACCCTACAAGGGTGGTCGCATCTCTCTCGCTCATTAATCATACCCATGCCTTGGAGTATGTTTTTTTACAATTGTTTTTTTCCTTCATTTTCTCTTATGATTGATTATAAACAGTCTGGAACCATTATGCGTAAACCCAGAACACCCCCACTCTCACCTTCCAAACCAGATCAGCTGTAGGGTCAAGCAAATACATGTTTCAGGTTACTATGGAGTGGTACCAACTTAACTCCAATTTCGGCAGAAAAAGCTAAAATCTGGGTGATTGGCCTGAAGTGCTGTCAGCCAATTTCCAGCAGCCTGCAGAAGTGAGTTGACCACCTCATATTCACAGTCTTCATGGTCAGGTACCCATTGTGATGCTATGAACTTGTACGAAGCAAGGCCAAAAACAGGTAAGCGAATATTGAGGACACTATCCATCTCACTTGCAGCACCTGAACCTTTTGTTTCCAAGAAGAAAGCATATAAAGCAGTACAGAAATTTAGAGACAAAACACACGAATGATTCCATGAAGGAAAAGAAAAAGAAAATAAACAACTTTCACATCCATAACAGAATACTCCATCATTTTGGTCACATAAGTGTTACTCCATAGGTCCCTTCTCAATTGTTGGCCACAACTATCATTTTTTCCATTTCTGAAGCACTAGGGTTTTTTCACTTTTGGTCCTTCCGGGTCACTTATCTGATGAAAAAGAATGGAAATTCCGAAGTTGTATGGGACGAAATTAACAAGATAGTGGCCAGTAAGGCCCATGTGACAAAAAATCTAGTATAATGTCTCAATAGTGGAAAATGGAAGTTATGGATAAAAATGACAATGACCTGATAATCTAGGGAGGGATATATCTACACAACACGGTTGGGAAGAGAGCGTTGAACAAAAATTTAAGATGCAATTCATACAAATGTAAAGGTACCTGTCCCTGTTGTATGAAGATAATGATAGGAAAGAAAACAAGCATCTAGGGGTTTAAGAGTAGGTCCCATTGGTATCCGATAAATTGGGTACCTACATAAGTAACACGCAATGACCACTAAGGAGGATATGCACATGCAATTAATATGCTTTGTGAACAAACAAGGATAATAAACGGTACCAGGCTACAGAAATCCAGCTTGATGGAAGTAGGTCACAACTTCTAAGCGTTTTCAGCTCAGGAAAGCAAACAGCAAGGTTTGATATCTGTAAAGTTAACAATAAGATGTCCCTTTAAATTATTATTTAAATGCATATATTTTCATTTTTTAAAATATGAAATAAACAACCTTTTCTGCAAAAGGTTCCCGACCATGTGGAGGACTCCTCTCAAAATACTCGAACACCAAGTAACATTGAGAACACACAGATTCACCCTCGTCGCTGGAAAAACCTTCTTGAAAATTAGTATTTTCATCTCTTAATGGCGACTTGCTATTCCTAAAAAAGTTTTCACGGTTTGAGTGATTTAGGCAATTTCTATCCTGTTCAGAATCACTGCTTCCACCACTACTACTAGAATCTCTAAAATTGCCACCATCACTATCCTCTCCTGGTTGCCTATGAGATCAAATTCAGAAAGAAATCAAAGAAGTAAAGAGTCACAGATTCAAGAGATAGCAATAAACAAATAACCTTTGGGTGATGATAAACAATGAACACATTCTAGAAGCATTTAAAAGAGCACACAAAATATAGTAGATCAGATGAAATGTGGCCTGTGGATCTTATAGTGCACAGACTATTAATAAATGCCTAAAGCATTGAGCTTTAATATAAGTTGACAAAATTGAGTCAAAGGTTAACATATCCACTAAAACAAAAAACAATTGAGCCATGAATTTAGCATGACAAATAAAAGCACAGAAGCATAGAACACAACTATGAATAAAGTCAGGAATAGTTACAATTACCCTGCTCTGGTTTGGTGAATAAACTAGTCTATCCTTGTATTTTGAAAAAGTCAAAGAGGTATCCTTTATTTTAGTCAAATTGTTTAATTCAAGTGTTCAGCCTTATTTTAGAAAATCAAGCTAGTTACCCCCTAAACATTGACTTCCTCTACAACTACCCATTACCTTATAAACTTTGAGCTCATTCTTTCTAATTAAATGAAATGGTATCTTTATTAGAAACCCAAACATACAATCACATTTCCTCCATACAAGGTTTGTAAGAAGAGTGTAACAGTTGCCGTTAATGATGCAAATGTTAGGATGTTGTTTAATACTACATCCATCTCATTAAGTTCGTGAGCCATAAAACATGGCCAAATTTGGTATAGGATAAACATTTTGGAATGGCCTACAAGTGAAATATCTGACAAGCAAAATAGGACGGATGGAGTAATAACTTTTGTTACTTTTTATTAATAACGGTGCAATGATTCGTGGTTAACTAAAATAATTATTGAATCTGTTATGAGACAATCGTGATGAACTTGATCTATATATTGTGGAAAGTAACATTGAAATTTTTGCATAGTAAGCAATTCAGATAGTTTATACTCCCTCCGTCCTGAAAAGGTTGGCCAAAGTTGACTTTCACTAAAAACTGTGGTTGAAATTTGTGCAGAGGAGAGAGAATTAATTTTAGCCACATATTCCGTACTTTAAATGGAAATGACAAATCTTTTTGGGACATCCAAAAAAGGAAATTTGGCCAACCTTTTCGGGACGGAGGGAGTATATATTCCAAGTCTTCCAATCCGATTGCAAGAAACCAATACCATTACCGTTCCCACACACTGTGGAAAAATATATGGTGCCAGGAAGCTAGCTCTAGTATTGTGTAGCGACCTCAGCTAACCCAAATGAGTTAAGTAATATATATGACGTTCTGCACCAATTTATGATGATGGTTACAATCTGTAACAATCCCACACCAATCAAGTATGGACTTGATCGGTGGCTTAAAAACTAGGTGTCCCTCCTAATCGGCTAGTCTTTTGGGAGTGAGTTCTACACCTGAGCTTTTGGCATTGATATGAGCCTAGTATGAGCTAGGTCCGTAACAATTGGTATCTCAGTCATCCCCATCTTCCCCATCCTAACACTCGGAGTGGTGGCCTATGGAGTGGTGGCTTGGGCCCTGGGGGTGCCAATCGTGACCAACAAGGATGTTGGCTCTGCGGAACGTGGAGTATTGTAACGTTCCCACACCGATCAAGCATGAGCTTGATCGGTGGCTTATAAACTAGGTGTCCCCTCCTCCTAATCGATGAGTCTTTTGGGAGTGAGTTTTACACTTGGGCTTATGGCATTGATATGGGCCTAGTATGGGCTAGGTCCGTAACACAATCCTAACAACCTTACTTAAGATAACTATTGTTCTTGTATTTCTAAAAAACATGCCATTTTCTTTATATGAAGGAAAACAAAAAACACTTATAAAATGAAATGAAATACGACCTCCGTCCCCCTAATATCGGGATGAAAGAGAGTGATGTGATTTTTAAGAAAAGTAAAATTATGTGGTTGATAATGAGTTCATAAAGTAAGAATAAAGTAAAAATGAATTAGAGTCACACAAATGTTAACAAATATGGTATGTGACAATAATAGTGGGACATATAAAAATGGAAAAATAGAACAATTATAGGGGGACAGAGGGAGTATATGGGAGGAGCCGAGGAGGTGCTTAACATGGTCAAACTTAAAGGGACACCTATTAGCATTTAAAAAAAAAGGATGGAGTAATCAATTGGGCCAAACACGGGGGAAGGAGGGGGGGGGGGGGGGGGGGGGAATAAATCCTTGAATTTATTCAACTAAAAACCATGTCTGAACTTTGAACTCTAAAACTACTTGTAGTTTTTCCTAGGAAGAAAATCAAATAAGTAATGAACCCCATAAAATAGCCAGAGCTGCCATTCTATAAAGAAAGTAATAAGCCCACAAAGTAATCAGCATCAAATGACACAAACTCTTGAAGGTCTATGTTTCGTAATTGAACTTTGCCTGCGAGCATAGTTGTTAATGGCACAAATGGCACGCCTATAAAATGCCATTGTCGATGGAGAGTCTTCGCCACATTAATGCTTCTTGGCGGCCAGTACACATGCCGTGGTGCCATATGTGCACCAATGCCATGCCATATGTGCCATGTTATTGGAGCATATCTAACATGTTCATCAATTATTGTTGGGCTTTGGCCCTGATTACTAATTAACCAGTCAGCCGGCCCATAATATAAATAAATAAATACTCCCTCAGTCCCAAATTGTAAGATACATTTACTACTCACTTTGTCAACATAAATCATTCTTAATCTTTTACTTTATATATCAAAAGTTTATGAAATTTGAATTATTTTTTGCAGGTTTTATAGCGATTTTAATGTAGTTTTTGAATATGTAAATTTTATTTTCTAAAAGTAATTTGAGTGTTTACAGGGATCGATTTTCTTTATCGTCACTCAAACATCGTAAACCATAAAGTATCTTACAAATTGAGACGGAGGGAGTAAAACATACTAACAGAACTAGATAGAGACCATCTAGCGTAGAATTGAAGCCAAAGACTGCGCAACTAATGTCTCTGTTAGACAAAGCTGCAAACGACTATAGGGAACTGGACTTTCACTAAAGGAGTGTGGTAATTAATGTTGATTAGATCATAATCGTCGAACACAAATATGAAGTTGACATATTTTGGAAGACTTGAAGCTTTCTTGAATATTAAGTTATTTTGGGAACTATTTTAACTTGACATATTTTGGTTACAATGTGGTCATTCAACTCTTTTGCTCATTTTTAGTTATATTATAGGTTTATATTGTCTATAGTTCATAGTTTTGATAGTTGTTTTATGGGTCATGTGGTAATGCCATAAATGCTCCATCCATTGCCACGGAAAGATGCCTTGGTGTCATGACTGTCACCATACGCTATGACAACTATGCCGGTGAGTGACTTAATGTATTTCACCATTACTCCCACACAGGGACAAAAGAGGATTCAAGGCGTGTGTTTTTATAGAAAAAATATTGTTTCTCATACAGTCATACCTATATGTGCACCTGCTGCTACATCCCATAATTTTCTTGTCATCTTCCCTGCCAATATTTCCATTACCTCTTCTCACAAAATATTTCCATTACCTTTTAAATAAACATTTGTGTGGTTGATATTGATTCTCTCCTTTCAAAAGAAAGGTTAACCTTGAAATTTTATTTTCTTAATAAGCATGCGAAGTCAAAGCAGGAAGACAGTTTTGGAATGGAGGGAGTAAATGGAAATAGTAATAACAGAATGGATGAGTCATACGAGATGCATGCCATACACAGACTGAATCCCCTATTCACATCCGATACAGGGTTAATAATTTGATACTAGAGAATTTTAAAGTAGAGCTGCAGGACAAAGTGCAAATGAATAATAACCTCAGTTTCTCTGAAGACTTTGAAGGGTCAGCATATATTTGTATGCCAGATAAGTAGGGAACATAGTACTGAACCACACTATCATTTTCATTCAATATCAATGGCACTCCAGCACCATATGCACTCCACTCTTTGAAAGCCTCCCACAAATCACCTAACACAAAATATGGCTTAAATCCTTCATCACGCATCTTACAATTCCTCAACGTGGTCTGTTGTTAGCAGATAAAAATCAATCAAAAACCCATTTGGATAAACATTATAAAAACTGATGGAACAAAAAACGGCCCAACAAAATTCAAGTTAAGATGCTCAGTTATAACAAAGATAACAGATACCATTTGCATTCAGGAGCAATACGTTAAATACTCCATAAATATTGTGCGTTCCGTTATTCCAATATCAAATGGAAGAGGGGTTCTAGTTCTATTAATAATTAATTAGTTAAGGGTTGCAACTAATGAACCTTGGAAAGATACTGCGCCTTGACTGAAGGAGTAACGCAATGCAAAAAGCTTTGGATGTTGGACACAGATGACGCCTCGCTTGCTGGCTCGGCTATTATGGCCATCTTCTCCGTCGGCTGCTCATCCGCTGTTGCTCGGACATGGGGCATGGAAACAGCACCTACCCTGACGTCTCTCTCGACTCCCCGGCTATGATCTCCGTCTTGATGATTCTGATGACCGCTGAAACTTTGGCTCATGCGAGACTTCGCGGCACTGTAAAACCAATCATCACCGTTCTGGCTCCTATTTAATAGCATTCCTTCCCCCAACATAATTGTAGAGCCCCTCAAAAGCCCAAACCTTCTATCATCACCTAATAATAATGTTTGAACTAATCCAAATATATGTATGATAGCCGCGTGACCGCGTCCTATATATTTGTTCGTGGCGATACAAACTATATATATCACAGAGATACAGAAAAACAAAATAAAAGCTGGAAGGCTAATTGAACTCTTTTCGTGAAAGAATCAAATTAGCCTAAATTCGGGTAGACGGATTCCAGCAGTAAACCCTAACAATAGCAATTCAGAAGCTTTTGAACGTGTACACGAATTAATACAATGATATCTGTAACGATAGAGATAGGAAATGATAGAGAGATGGGTTGGCGGTAGAGGTGATTGCAGAAAGAGAGAGGGAGAGAAATGGAAAGCAGAAGGTTGAAATCTGCAACTCTGTGTGGTTCCGTATTGATAGTACAAAAAAACGAACGGGTCTGTATAGAACTTAAAAAATTCAGATCAATTCAAAAAAGATTCTAGTTTAATGTACACGTCAGTTTACACGCCGGGTTACACATAGGTCAAATTGTCTGTATACAGATAATTTGATCGCCGTTTTATGAAGAAAATCGATTTCCATATAGACAAAATATTAAGAGTTGTCTGTATCACATACATTTTAAACCTGAATTTTTCATAAAATGTCTGTGATACAAACATTTTTTTATTTTTGTCTGTGTGAAAATCAGTTTTCTTCGTAAATCGCCGCTCAATATGTCTGTGTAGTCGATCAAATTGTCTGTACACAAACAATTTGACAGGCGTGTAACCCGGCGTGTAAAACTTGGCCTGTACAAAAGGAATTTTCCTTCCAAAAATACCAATCGAATCTTACCCGATCTGTTTGAAACGAGTCAGTTTGGTGCAGGTTTTTCCGTTCTTATTACATTGAAGTATTTTTAAAATACACTATTTATGTCAATCTGGAATATTTCCGTGGTAAAAATAACTATTCAAACTAATCAAACAACTTCAAAAAATCAGCTTAGTCATATCTATTTATGTCAATCTTGAATATCTATGAATAAATAAAAATTTAAGTCATATAATTATGTTTTATATTGTGTAATAACAGTTCACAAATTAAATAATCAATAGCAAAAATTATGTCTTATTCAAAGAAAACAAGTCACTGTAAAAATAAATGTGTATGTTTTAATAAAATTACAAAATAAGTGGTTGATTAACAAGAGTATATACGTATTAGTTGTTTTTGCAAATATCTACACATTAGTTGATAGGGAGCATGATATAGCTATTTTAATATTTTAGTTTGTTTTACAAAAGTGTAAGCGGTGAGTTGATAATGCAAAAAAATCAACACAGGACGTGTATTCTAGTTTTTTTAACACTAGTAAACTCGCTCGTGCAATGCACGGTCAGGTATCTTTTTTCAAATTTATTTGCTCTCACTATTTCAAATTACACTATAATTAATAACAACATCTATCTCCATGGAATACTGTTGTAGATCAAAGCAATGAACGAAACACACTTATAATATTATGGTTAAAAGAGAGCACTAACTTTTACTTAAAAGATAAAAAACATCCAACAAATACGTAGAAACCATAACATGGTAAATATGCATTTCATGTAAACCTAAACATTGTTGAACACTTCTTTGAATACAAACATTCTGAGTCTTGTCAGTGGTTCCTTCATCTTCATCAACAATTAGAAATTTCAAACCACAACAATTGGTAACCCTTGATACTGCAACATACAATCGTCCGTGCAATGCATGGTTGGTGAATTTTCATGTGTATAATAAACAAATTACGATTTATGTATCATGTGTATAAAAAACAAATTTGTAACTCCAATTTAATCATTTAGAATTATATATATAGGTTTTGGTTCAAATAAGAACATGATCTTAGGAGAGAAATGAGAATGAATCTGGACCGTCAAATTTGCTTTAAGTGAAATTAAATGTGCATTAGATGAAACTGTAATATGCATTAGTTGAAATTGAAATGTGTAGCACAAATGATACGATACAATGACATTATGTGAAGCTAAATTGTGCATTAGGCGACATTGAAATGTGCACTAGGTGAAACTGAAATGTGCAGAATAAAAGGTACATCGTGATGTTATTTTTGTACCTTTTATTCCGCACATTTCAGTTTCATCTAATGCACAATTGAGTTTAAATTTTTATTCTGCACATTTCAGTTTCACCAAATGCACAATTTAGTTTCACATGATACAATCCAAAGGTCCAAATTTATTCTCATTTCTCTCCTGGAGTCTGTTCTTACCGAAACCGCTCCCTGTATATATATATATATATATATATATATATATATATATATATATATATATATATATATATATATATATATATATATATATATATATATATATATATATATATATATATATATATATATATATAACTTTGGAACTGAAAATTAAGGGGGGCGAGTCTAATTAAAGTATGAAAAATTTTATGAAAATATTATATATATATATTAGAAAATTTTGAAAGTCCAAGGGAGGCAATCGCCCCCACGCCCCCCTTAAATCCCCTGATTGCAACCTATTGATAAAGAGTTTTGTTCACCCCTCCATTACTCCATAGAGGGTGAACATCACCCTCTTTCTTCTATAATTGCCATGTGGCATTTCATCCCATCTTTTTCAACTTTTTATTTATTGCCTAATTTTTGTAAAATGTATACCAATGGTTTCAATATTGGGTATATAAAAAAATTTATGATCTTTCCAATGATATCAATATTGTGTATATAAAAAATTGAAAAAAAATCATTTTTTTCTGAATATCTATTTTTAGTTGATTTTGTTTTTAATTTTTTCATATGAAATATTAGTAGCATATGTACTACCTCCCTCTCTTACTAAACTTGAGGAGGTGACCCAGACACGCAGTTATTAAAAAAAGTGGGCTCATGTGATTGGTATTGAATTGATAAAATAAGAATAAAGCAATAATGAAAAAAAAAAACAATTGTTAAATTATAAAGTATTGTCTTGCCACATGACAGACGATTAGGGTGGGGGTTGAACATCACCCTCTCAAAGGAGGGTGAACAAAATTGTTCTCGTTGACAAAGCCCCATGTCAGTTATACCGGACAAGATATGCATGTTTGATGTTATATAATGTTCAAATATTAATCAACAGACGTGATAGAAATTCTCAAACCTTCTCTTGAAGGACATGAGCGGTCCAAAAATAGTGCTCACAAAGTATACCTTCACCTATTGTTGGACTCGGGCCGGTTCGGGCCCGCCCGGGCCTTCGGGTTATTACAAGTGGGCTCGGGACCGGACCGGGCAGCTAGCCACCGGGTCCGGTCCGGGGCCGGGCCGAGCCTCTTTTTAATTTTTTTTTGGCCTTTTCCTAACTAACCCCGTTAAGATTATCTCATTTTTTCTTTTTAGTCTGTCCATTAAGATGATCTAATATCAAATTTGTTAACATTTGTATGATTCAAAATCATTTTTGCTTTATTCTTACTTTATCAATTCAATATCAATCACATAAGTCCATTTTTTCAATAACTGTGTGACATCCTCATGCCTCAATGTTAGTAAAAGGGAGGTAGTACATATGACATGCATTAGCATAAAAGATCACTTGTATTTCACCCGTGCGTTGGACGGGGGTAAAATACTAATATTATAAATCTAAATGATTAAAGATTATATTATAATTTATCACTGGAATGAGAGTAACCATTACTAAATCAATAATAAAAACACCCACATTTTCTAACGATTGTTCTTGACACTTGTTCATCGTTATCGCATAGCTAACCATCAAGGGGAATTGCCTACACATAAATGTGAAAGGTAGCCAACTGAATGATCATATTCCTCATGAGCATCATCAATACACCAACTTTTAGCTTCAACTCGTGACTTGGAACACCAGAACATTTAATTCCGTTAAGGAACTCGGGAGTGAATTTCATGAAAGAGCTCATTGTCTGAGGTTGAGAAACACGCTGAATCTGAACTGAAATGTGTCTTTTCCTCTGAGTTGTATGCAACAACATGAAATCATTGACCTTGTCTACCTCATCAATTGTCAATGCAAGAATCGCTCTCCCTTCAAGATATGAGATATTATTTATGTTCTTAAAAAAATATGGATATGTACTGTTGACAATGGATTCAATGGGATCAGACATTACTAGAACATGAAAATTTTCAGGTATATCAATTTCTTCTCCATCATCACTCCCCCCCAAAACACCATCACCGATTTGAAGTATCCAATCAACAAAAAGCTTCAAAATACTTGGATTGACCGGTTCATTTGTGAAGTTCTAGTCTCATATTTTTTGTTAACTTCAACACCGTACAATACTGCTACAAATGTGATGCATTCAATCTATCCATTAAGATTATCTGATACCAAATTTGTTAACATTTGTATGATTCTAAATCATTGTTGCTTTATTCTTATTTTATCAATTCAATACCAATCACATGAGCCCACTTTTTTTAATAACTGCGTGTCTGGGTCACCTCAAGTTTAGTAAGAGAGGGAGGTAGTACATATGACATGCATTATTAGCATAAAAGATCATAAGATGGAATAAATAGAAGTAGAAGTGCGTAACTTTACCCACTTTCATCATCACAAGCCAATTATCCAACTACAATGCAAATGCATTCAAGCACTTCATAATTTTTATGATACACAATGCAAATGCTCAAGTTTAACATTCCAAAGTCGGACTTGCTGGAATGCATGACTGAAGAAGAGAGAGAGATCCCAGTAGAGACTATCCTGCAAGACTTTATGTTTTAATCTTTCTAATTAGAATGAACAGCCTCTGATCAAGCTCAAATTTAGCAGCTATTGATGAGTCAGCACTCAGTTCCATCAGAAGACCACCAAACGAAACTATTAGTCTCCTGTACCAAGGAACATAACTGGAATTTAATTGGTGCGAATTTCTGAGTCATAAATCATGATGTATGTTAAATAACATTGACAACAAAGCAAATATTTTTAAAAACTACACAAACTAAAAAGTAGAGGGCCCCATTAACATTGACAACAAAGCATTGACGTCACGCCTTAAATGCTGCTTTATACTCCCTCCGTCCCGCTAAGATTGTCTCATTTTACCATATCATATTTGGTAAAGTTTGTGTGACTCTTAATCATTCTTACTTTATCAATTCAATATCAACCACATAAACCCACTTTTCTTAATAACTGTGCCACCTTCTGTCCCAATGTTAGTGGGACGGAGGTAGTAATATTTAAAAGAATGAGGAAGGGAGTCAAAATAGTGCTGAATATGTTTACTCGCAACTAAGAATTCGAAATGGATAACTATTAGATGTCAACTAACCATTTGAAATTGAATACTGAGTATTATTTACTATTCATGGTGCTGGGTTTTGATGGTCTTTGAGGCTTCTTGAGAACCCAAGGTGAATTGAGGAGTACAGCTTTCATTTCATTTTCATTTACCCCAATGCCACAAAGGCTCCCACCTACGGTGGGGGGTAAGGGGGGGTCGGATGTACGCAGTCTTACCCCTGTACTAAAGCACAGAGAGACTGTTTCCGGATGACCCATAGTGAAAATCGCGTCCAAGATTGCATGGACTGACTGCTGCTCCATAACAAAGAAGCGCAGACAGTTTAGTGAGCCATTTTGCTTTATTCCATCATAATCTCAAGCCAAAAAATAATGAATCTTTGGCTCCATTGCAAATGATGGAAAATTTATATTCCATACTTCTTTAATTAAGTGAAATGAAAACTTACCGTTCTTGAATATTATGACATAGTATCTTGCACTAAAGATGTTTTTACTTGGACTGTAAATCGTCCCAGACCAGACCAGACTTGGATAGTTATAAAAATACAAAGAAACCAGACCAGACCAGATCAGACCAGCAAATTACAGTCCAAGTAAAAACATCCTAATTACTGTAATTGGATGGATGATAAAACTGCAGAATGCATAAAGCTATATAATATTTATAAGCCAACTCGTCAACAAAACAGAGAGGATGAACAAAATATCTAGTAGAAAAGAAAGTTGGGAAGCTTCATTCGAGTAGGGAAGAAACCAGTGAAGTAGAAGCATAGAAAAGCAAATGAGTAGAAAAGACTCAAAGAGATTAGAGGTATTGGGTAGAGAACAAACATTATAGTAAATAGCATCTTAAATTATGTTAAACTTCTTTTTAGTTAAATCAAGTTAAACTTCTTTTTGATTTAAGTAAATAGCATTTTAAATCTTTAATGAAAAGCAGGTAAGATTGAACCAAACATCTAAAAAATGAAGTGCCAATTTTTAATGCAAGGCAATTTTCTATAGCTTCCTCCAGGCCAGTCAAAAGGTGTATATGTCAAACTGTCAATAGCTTTTTCAAATTATTGACTCGTGTGGCTTTTTCTGCAGGAGATGTCACCCCATAATTGGGTCAGGATTAGCAGCATATCAAGGTTCAGCCAACAAAGTCCTTTTGTTGGATGTATTGATAAAAAAATCTAATTTGTTTTTGGACTTCCTGATTAAATATTATTTAGACATCAAACGGGAAGCAAAACCTACAGTTCATCCCGCGACTTTCCCTCAGGTATCCTGTATAGCTTTCCTTGCATAACATACTCGTAGTCGTCAGCAAGTGATTTCCTGTTTCCCTGAGATCATGACCACAACAAATTTAGCCCCCTTCTCATTTGAAGAAGTAACAGCAAACCATAATCCAAAACTTTCAAGGCTAATCAGCTAAATACTTGGTCATAAGCCAACATTGGCCTTTTTTATTTGTGCTACATTTAACAGACACAAAGAATGGATTTTATCTCTAACTAAATTACTATTATTATAACCTTACAAGCAAAAGGTAATGGCAATGTCACATGTCAAAGAACCCATATCAGAACACATGCACAAACTTCATGCATAAAAGGATTGCACGAAGCAATAAGAAAGCATTAGTTTATTGAATCCCAACAGGATTCGAGTAAAATGATGGATTTTTTTTAAAATGTAACAAATTTGAAATACTTAACAAAGAAAGCTTACTGAGTATACAAGCTAATTTTAGTGAAAGTACATGATACAAAGAATAGAAGTCATTCTTGATCTCCTTTACATTAGTTTTTTACTCCGCAGCTTAAAGAATGGGAATGCAATTTGTATCATTTTCCATATTTGATAAGTACCTTTTTCCATTAGGGAATGAGATTTAATTATTAAGGTTTTGTCATTGTGAAGTCTTAATCAAAACTCAGGTTCTGGAAAAGGAATCCAAATAAGAAAGAAGCACATGTCCTACTTTTAACAAGACCTCATAATGAGGTTTAAACTATTTAAGTCCTATTTGGATGTATATTCCATGTCTGGATCAATCAGCTTATTGCTACATTTTAGCAAAGTGTCAATAAAAAGTACTTTGAGATATAATATTTTCACTTGGTTGCTTTTAATCTTGGAGGAAAGCAGAGAGGGAGCCAGCATGGTGTGGTTTGAAACCATCTGTGCACCATATATGTGTTTGAGCATCTACAGTTTAGATAAAGCAACTAAACAAAAAAACAGCACGTAGATATCACATGCCACATTTTCATACACCAGAAAAGTAGAAATAAAAACAGAACTAAATTCTCACAAGCTTGATATCACTCAAAACCTCCACCAGAGTCATCATGACACTCTGGCGGATCCTCAAACAATGTGATAACACTACCCCTCTTCAAACACACTCACAACGTTATTAGCAAGCCCAAATATCCAAACAGTCGTACAAGTTGCAAAATCAAAAGCAACAAACTAAAAATAAATATAAACTACCTGAAGATAGTAACCCGAATCTGGAGTCCCATCCAAATTTATAGTGGAGACCAGAACAATCTTAAGTGTATCATTAATGTCAATGTGATATATCTGTGAATTCACGTCTAATACCATAGTCTTTTCAAACTGGTTGCCCTTTGCCACGATGCGATCAACTAGGAATTCATACAATCATTTATGTAAACATCAGAAATTCACAATTATTTACAGAAAGTACTATCTGCGTGAACTAAATCAGCTAGAGACAACCAACATAGTGAATTAAACTAAATGGTTAACAGCTAGAGACAACCAACACAGTGAATTAAAACTAAATGGTGTTCATGCAATATTCCAGAACAACAGGTTCAACTATTGTTTGACCATCTAACCATATTGTTCATTATGCAAAACTCATTGGTATAAGCATTTAAGGCGAACTAGCCAATTCTTATCAAATACTTTTATAGTAAATGTGCTCTACCAACGCCTTTCCTACACCGAAATTTAAGATATCTAGTTTTCATATCATTCAAGAAAATATTTCATGCAATATAGGGGATGAACATATAGCAACAGATGATCCCATATAAGAATTATGTATTATTGTAACTGAGTAGTGAGTACCATTATTGAATATTTTCCCCTCTGGATTTATTTCAGTTACTGTGAAAATATCTTCAAACAGCGTCGCAACCATCTTGAACCTGTATTTATACATTGTTTAGAATAGGTAAAAAAAGAATATAATATATGAGAGGAAGAAACCATCAGATTACAGAAGATAAATTTGAAACTCAGGCAGGGCCGGTCCTGAGTGTTTCAGGGTCTGGGGGCAGGTATGTAATGGACATAATCTTAAAAAATTAGAAAGATCATTTTTATCTAAAGTAAGATGTAATATAATAATATTTCAAAAATATTATAATAAAGAAATGACTTTTATAATGTGTTGAATTTAATAAAGTAGAATCATAGTTACAAAATAAAAATTAAATAAAAAATCAAATTTCAATACTTCACAATTCACACAAATTTTAATAGAATTTAAAATACATTATTATATAACCGAACAACCATATAAACTAGGGGTGGGACCATAGTCACATAGTTCGCAGAACGCTTCGGTACGGTAACGAGGATAGGGAACGGGGTTCGCTAAGTCTAGCGTATCTGGTACGTGAGGGGGTAGGCTTCTTCGGTACGCTATTTCGGTAAGCGGTACGTTGTACCATTGATTAGGGTACAGTGTACCGTAAAACATATACAACTTATAATGTAGAAATATAATAATATTAATAATATGGAGTATTGAACAATTAATGTAACATTCCAAATTTCAATTGTTCCCAATTCATAAAATGAATAAACTAAAAATGATAAAATTAAATTTCAGATGTTAAAAGAGAATATACTGCGTAGTTTAAAATCATCACACACACAAAATACTGTGTAGTTCAAAAAAGATGGAAAAGTTGTAGTAGCTGGAGTCAACTGACTGGGGGAAAAACAAAAAGCAAAAAAGAACGGTTTGGCAAAGAGAAAGAATGAGAGGGTTGCAGAGTAAAAGGGAACACAGATTCCAGATCTAAAAATACTGTAAAACGAGCGACAGTACAAAACGGCGAAGATAGGACCTGCTTAGTGAACTGTAACGGAGACCTGCGACGGAGAGACCAGCGTCAGCGACCTGCGACGATGATACGCGTGAACTGCGACCTGAAACCTCCGTAACGAAGTCGCGACCCAGAAGTGACCTGCACGCAAATGTACCGCTGTCCGGAATGTAAAACGCTGGTATCTCAGCTGTATCTATAGATGGGACTTTGGAATAAAGAATAGATAAATATGTTTGTTCTTTTACTTTATAAATCAAATTTTTAATGTAGTTACTGAATATGTAATTTGTTTTCTTAAAAATATTTTGAGTACAACAGGAATCCATTTATTTTACAAAGTGGGACGGAGGGAGTAACATTTAGTATGTTTTTATCTATTACTTATCGGTATATATTTATTTTTATATTAAATTCACTGATTATTTATTTAATTGAATTGAGAAGTATTTACCTGGTTATCGCTTTTATATAGATTTAATTATAATTAAAAAATTTACCTAACAAAATCAACAAATTATAACAGCAACCCTCGATATATTACAATCGACAATTAAGAATGAACTAAACATTCACGAGCACTCAACCACCAACAAATCAACTACTTATTTATCAACTATCCATTTATAAACATTAAACAACTATAAATGAAATCAATTGATAAACTAATAAAGTAATTACGTTAATCGATAAAAGAAAAAAGTCTACGACCTAAGATTTTACTTGTAATGAAATTTGTTGGTCTGGTACGGTGGTAAATGTATGGTTTATGTATATTTTATAATGCATGTTAAATGATAAACATCCTAAAAAGGACAAACACTTAAGGCCTTGGGAAATAAGGATCAAGGAAGGAGGTCGCCAGGTCGGAGGAGTACCTGAAGGCTGAACTGCTGAAGCGCAGAAGCGGTGATTCCGGTGAAGGCGTGAAGCCTGAAGCAGTTAGCACAGCGGACCAGAAGGCTGAGGAAGTGAGGAGGGAAGGGGCGCAGGGTGGCCAAGTGTCGACCGTAGGCGGTAGAGGCGTTCGTGGATCCGAATGGGTGCTGCTCCTTTGTTCGGCTGAAGTCTGCCGTCTCCGTAGCCGTTTCCTCACTTTCTTAGCCCGTAATACTAACCTTTTGCTATTCTTGTGCTGTTTGATGATTGGGCTGTACAAAAATATTACTCCCTCCGTCCCACTAATAATGGGACAAGAGGGAATGACACACAAATCAATAAAAAGTGATTTATGAGGTTGATATTGAATTGATAAAGTAAGAATAAAGTTAGAATGATTTAGAGCCACACAAACTTTGCCAAATTTGGTATGAGACAATCTTAGTGAGACGGACCGATAAGGTAAAATGAGACAATCATAGCGGGACGGAGGTAGTACTTAGTTTAAAGTTGAAAAATTAGTCTACTCATATACTACATATCTCTTTTCATTTAGTCAAACAATATTTTCCAAGTCAATTATATTCAAATTTGACCGACTATATATTTATACACGATAACATTTATGATATAAAAATGTTCTTTTTTAAATGTACTATCATAAAAGTATATATTTATTAAGTTTCACATAAATATATCAATTAAAATAATGGAATAAAGTTTATCATTTTTGACTGAAAAAGTCAAAGTTAGCTGAATAAAAAGGGACAGAACATAAATTATGGGCCTAAAATATTCCATTTTTTCTAGGCCTACTGACACATTTCATTTAGTCCCTTTCATTTAAGATATTAGATTAAAAGTTTAAAACTCTATTGATAACTAATCCAATTTTTTAATAATTAAATTTACGTATCTTAGCTTTAATAAACTTAGGGGATGTATTGAATATGAATTGTGGTGTATTTTTTTAAGCCGTGGATTTTTAAAAAAGTCAATGGACTTTTAAATCCATACACTTTTTTATGAATGAATTCTATGGACTTTTAAATCCATGGATAAGTTTATTGACTTTCAAAAAGTCCATAGACTTTTAAATGCGAACCACTACTGCTGGTTGTCGAAATTTTCACCTAGACCGCCGTTACCGATCTGCCCGTCCGCCTCCGTCACTTGAGTTCCCCGTTGTTGTCATCGGACTGATCCGCCACCAACAAAGTCGATTTGATTATGCAAGGGAATTATGGACAATTACTTATATTAATTAATTAATTTAGGGGTGAATATGTAATATTTAGTCCTATTTAAGGAAAATCAAACATATGATCATACTTTATTAAGAAGAATGCTACTCCGTATGTTTTAGTCCTACCCTGAATAATTTCCTCTGTGTAATACAGAGTATGATAAGAAACAAATAGTCAAACAAACAAACAAACAAATAAATAAATAAATAAATGAAACAAATGTAATTCATATAGCAACACAAAGTTCTACAAGAATAAATGAAGCATAAGAATCCAAATTTATTTTTATTAAAAAAACTCAATGTTTCAAGAATGCTCAAGAATTTTGGTCATTTTATTAATGAGTAAGAACATCAATCATTACACTCATTGCTACATGTGGTGCAAGCACAGTTGCAATCGAGATTATCTTCTTAATAATTGTTTTCTTTTCATTTATATCTTGTAAAATGTTGTGTATTTATTTACAGTTATATATTTATTAATTTGAAATTATATTTTTATGTGTTAGCGATTTAACGATGAAAGAAAGTAATAGTTAAAATACTTATTTTCTTAATGGTTAAGTGACGACGTACCAGAATTGCACTAATGTAATATTATCGATTCTTATATCAGTTCTTCTAGAAACTTCTAGAATCGAACCAATATGGGATTAACGAATCGAGGGGGGTGGGGCAAGCTGAAGAAGAAAAAGAATGGAAGGAGAAGGGTGGGGCGAGCTAGGCTGAAAAAGAATGATCGAAGGGGAAGGGGTGACTTGGCTAAAGAAGAGGAGAGTTGGCGGGGTGGGATGGGGGACGGGATGAAGAACCAATATAAGAAAAGTCCACGGAAATCTTTAGTGAGGAGAAGAGTCAATCGAAGAGAATTAATGTACTAAAAATGAGTTAAAAGTCCACGAGAATCCATGATTTTAGAAATCCATAAGAATGAACGGAACTTTGAATATGCCTAGACTTTTATAGACTTTTAAAAGTCTACATTGAATACACTTAGACTTTTGTAGACTTTTAAAAGTCCACATTGAATACACCTAAACTTTTAAAATCCATGAACTTTTAAAATTTTGTCACTAATTCCTAATACAATACACTCCCCCTTAGTTAGCGGACGGCCTAGCGTGTCTAGGGTAGTTTTGGCGCGGATGAAAGCGCTGAATCTCGGTGGTGGTATTGTTCTGGTTTACAATGGGAAGATGGAGGTTGAAGACAAAGTCTAGATCACATGAGTTTGAAGATGAAGGGAGTACAAGAATTGTTGCAGTCGTCCCTCGGCGCGTGGGGTGGATTACATGCGCAGTTTGTAGAAGACAGATGTCGCGCGATTGCAAAGCAACAAGTTCTCGGATCCCAAGAGGCTAGGTGAGGGCGACGAACCTCTCAATTGAAGTGTTGATCTGAAAAGCAAGGGGAAGTTGATCTTCCGTGATTGGGGCATATTTGGTTCGCAGGTTGTAAAGTCGTGACTCATATTAGCAGGCGTCGAAGCAGCAAGTTGCGATGGAAGGGCATAGCTATTCCTAGGCATGGACCCAACCAGGCCGAACCGGACCGGAAGCGGCCCGACCCGTTATTGTACGGGCCCAGACCGGACCAGACCCGGATGGCCGGTTCCGAGCTTTAGCCCGGGTTGGGCGGGTCTGGCGGGCCGGTTACGGGCCCCCATTTTGTTGAACCGGACCGGCCCGGGTCCATCCCTAGGTATTCCCAAGCGACAATGATCAAGATGATTATGAGGCAAGGTGAGTTTGATGATCTAGATCAGATCTCCGATCGGTTGGTCTTGGAGGAGGAAGGTGAAGTGTTATTGGTTCGTACCCCTCATGAACGCCGCCATGGAATGACAGAGAATCTAGTTTTATCCACATTAATTTTAAATTTTTAGTACATTACTCTGTTTTTATTTCTTTGGTTGCGTCTGAGGTCAAATGTTATAATTTCTGTTTTGAGGTTTTAGTTTTTAGTTTGGGAGGAAGCAATCAGACTAGCTAGTTTGGCTGACAATAGCTTTGAATCTCTCGCGTGTTCAACAATTACTCTTGCTCATTATTGGACAGTCTATTTTATTCTTGACCAGAGAGTGAGATGATCTGTTCACTGTAAGGAGTCTAGAAGAAATGTTTTTTTAGAGTAGAAGTAGGGGTGGACTCGGGTCCGGGGCGGGTCCGGGTCGGGCCTAGGCCCGGGCGGGCCGGCGGTTCAAGAATGGTGGACCCGGGACCGGACCGGGTAGCCACTGGGTCCGGTCCGGGTCCGGGCCGGGCCGGGCCTCCGGTTTGGAATTTTTTTTTTTGCTTTCCTAACCCCCCCCCTCACCCCCACCCTCCCAAACCCCCCCAAACCCATCCTACCCATCAAGCCCAACCCGGGTGGAACCCCAAAAATGAAAAAAAATAAAAAAAATTCAATTTGGCCCGGACCGGTTCACCAAAATTGAGACCCGAGCCCGGACCCGCCCTACCCCCCGGGCCTAGGCCCGACCCGGACCCGGACCCGAGAACCGGGCCGGTCCCGGTCCCGCACAGTAGCGGGCCGGGCCGGTCCACGAGCCGGGTGGCCCGACCCGAGTCCAAGCCTAAGTAGAAGAAACGTTTGGATAGTAAAAATGTGAGATGTTTGGTTGCTTGATTTTTGATCGGGTAACATTGAACATAAATTACTATGACTGCAATTACTATTATAATTACTACACTTAAGATGTCACGTTCTATAAACAACCTTTATTTTAATTAAAAATATGTAATTATTTCTTTCTATGTTATTCATATATAAATGTAATTATTTTTTTCTAATTTATTCATATATAAATATTATTTCAAATAGAAATCACCAATCCCCCCTTTTTATTTGCCCTTTCTAATAAAATAAACGATTTTTATATTTTATCATTGTCACGTCACGCCACATAAGAAGATTAACTAATCTCAAAGTTTGACTAACCCCCTCAATCATGATCCCTATTTACTCATTTTTTATGAAGTTTTTTTGCTACTTCATGAAGTATTTCAGTCGTTCCAAAAATTCAAAAAGTTGCATTAAGTATGTTTATTGGAAGTTGAGGATAGTCTTAAATAATCAAGGATCTGATATTTGATATCATATTTTTTACATAATCTTTTAAAATAATGATTTACAAAGAGATGTTCTGCGTCATCAAAATGATCTCAAATAAACTCACGAGTGAGGATGCCCTTAAATAAAAAACTACTTCTTATGAGACAAGAACATTCAGGTTGTTCCTAAATATGTTGCTTTCTAATGATTGTTCAGATAGAGTAGGGATGGACCCAGCCGGTTCGACCCGGCCCGGCTAGGAGCCGGTCCGGCCCGCTACTGTGCAGGCCCAGACCAGCCCGGTTGGTGCTAACCGAGCCCGGGCTTTTACCCAATTGGGGCAGGTTAGGCAAGCCAGGCTCGGGCCACGTTTTTCTTGAACCGGCCCGGGTATGGACTTTTTTTTTGTTTTTTCATTTTTTTGTTTTTCTTTGTTAGGGCCAGGTGTTTTGGGGGTGGGGGTTGGTGGGTGGGGGTGGAGGGGGGTCAGGGGTTAATTAGAAAGCAAAAAAAAACATAGAACCAGGCCCGACCTGGACCGGCCCAAGCCCAGCTCGGACCCGGTTTATCCCCGGGCCAGTTCCGGTTCACCCTTTCCCAAAAAAAGCCCGCCCGGGCCCGGCCCAGAACCGGCCCGGGTCCACCCCTAGGAGGCTAGGATAGGGTGAAGTTAACTGAACTTGGATTTAGTAAAATTTCAATGAATCTAAGTGGTACTAAATGCACATGAAATAATTTTTTTTGGATTATTATCAGATCAATACAGGTGAATGCAGTGAAAAGCAAAACTGTTTGGATGAAGATCAACATATCCGAACATGGGTGTAATTGGTAATCTAAAAAAATATAGTAGCAATGTAATAGGAAAATAAAGAAGGAAATATAAGAAATGCCCTAAACAGGGTAAAAACATTTGTGAATAAAAACATGAGAATACAACTTTAGAATTCCAAAAAAAATACTCCCTTTTCAAGAATTGTCCAAGAAAATATTCTAATTTTCAAGGATAGACATTCAAGGAAACTTGAAATGTCATAAAGGAGTTGCAAAGATACTATTATGTCAATTGTGTCAGGCAACAACGGTTTTGAGGCTCCTGCTTCCAGAACCCTACCTAGTATGTGCGGGTTTACAAAAATTTAACCTTTGAATATTTTGTTGGGTCAAATAACTGACTAAAAATGGTGGGATCGGGTTGGGTCGGCCAGGTTGTGTGGGTTGAGGCTGTTTTTGTGCAGCCCTACGAGTCTAAGACCAGACCCATCACAGATTCACACAGGCATAGAGAAGGGGAGGGTGATAAATCGAGTAATGACTGCAAATGCCCATAAAAAGTTCACTGCCAAATATATTACATCTTGGAACTGAGAAGACAACAGACCAAACATATACACGTTGAAACGGAGGATTCAGATTAGGACAATGAGCTTCAAACATTGGCATTAGTCTATTTCTGAAAAACTTAACAAGGGCCAGGATTAGCCCTTCATTAACAGAAAGAGAACATCATACACCAAACATATACTACGTACAATAATATTTGCTACAAGCCTAAAATAAAATGCAACCCGGATCTGACAATCAAACAGACATTAATCAATGTCTAGATGCTAGGCTGCTAGCTTATCTGAATTTCCCAATAGGAAGAAAAGTTCTTTTACTTGATGAACTTTCCAAATGCTGTGTACTATTAGCATTATTCTCCCCTGTTGTTTCAGCTACTTTACGAGGCTCAATTCAGCCTCTCAGTTTAGGCTAAGCACCTTTTGAATGATCATCCTCTCCTACAGATCCACACTGCACTAAAAATCTATGTATTGTTTCATAACTGGTAAATGTAATAACCGCAGATGGTGTCGTCCTCAAAAGATTTGTTGCACAGCCACGGTAGAATCCAGTGAGCCCTTCTTTTCTCAAGATCCACTTGATGCAAGCGATAACTCCACTGTACTGCCTTGCTGAGTTTCTCGCTTGTCCTTGCTCTTGGAGCCTAGAACGCACAACCTAGTGATGACAGCTCTCCAAATATTAAAGCCCCAACAATATGCTGTAAGCGTATCCTAGGTTTATATTATCACCTATAGGACTTGAAAGGCGACAAAAATAATTTTATTACTTCATGAGGCATGCACAGGGAATCTTAAAGGCCATAGTACAAACTAGACAACTACTAAGAGTGCCAAACCTAATTTTATAATCATTGAATGGTGAATTTCAAAAGTTCAACAACTAAGGGCTCGTTCAATATCCCTGTCAGTTTTTAGTTTTTAATATTATGATTTAAAAAGGTACTCCCTCTGTCCCGCTAACAATGGGATAAAAGGGAGTGGCACGCAAATTACTAAAAAGTGGTTTATGTGGTTCATATTTAATTGATAAAGTAAGAATAAAGTAGGAATGATTTAGAGCCACACAAACTTTACCAAATTTGGTATGGGACAATCTTATTGGGACGGACCGATAAGGTAAAATGGGACAATCATAGCGGGACAGAGGTAGTATATGATGTATATGTCAATAACTAACTCAAAAGTAACTGTACGTATAGTACTATGTTAATTTTGAAAACTGAAAACAGCTTCTTCTGTTTTTCATAGATTCGTTTGTGTAAAAAAACAGAAAATGGTACCTAATGAGGCCTAAGAAAAGCAGGGCCGGCTTTAGAACTTTGGAGGCCCTAGACGAAACAAAAAACTTAATTTTCATAAACAATATTAATGTGATTTCTATAACAAAAAAGTCAAAAAATTATAATTTTTTTAGTTTGGTCTTCTATATTTTTTTTATCGCGATCGCCATTTAAACTTAAATCACTAATATGTTATGATTATCTATAGTCTATTCTCATCCTTAATTATCATGGGCGGATTTAGAGGGGAGCCAGCCTATGCTTTAATTTGGCCCACTCGAAATTTAAAAAATGTCTTGATTTTTAAGGTAAAAAATACTGTGTATTTTTTTTTCCAAAAGTATTCTTTGTAGCCCATTCCGGCGCAGTGTCCTGGCTCCGCCCCAATTAATAATTGCATTCTCATTTTCATCATTGTTCTCATTCTCATGAACATCCATATATATTGGAATTGTCAACAATATTTGAGGAGTGGTCTCTCTTTACACAGTGATCCAAATTTCTTATTTTTTCCTTTTTAATCTGACAATTTTATGAGCAAATCTCTTCTGAATTTATAATTTTATGTTGAATGTCCAAAATTATATTTATATTTTCCTATCTTTACAATACTTACATATTTATAGTTTAACAGAAAAATCATTAATAGATAAGTCCACAAAAAGTTAAATTTACAAATCACAAAAAGTGAGCATCACAAATCAAACAAAATAACTACTTTACTATAACCACTAAAAGCTAGATATATATTTCTATTGGATGGCACGTTCTAATAAACTAAAGCTAAAATTAAATATTGTATTTATCAAATTATTTGATATATCAATATAGAACAGCGGAATAAGCAATATCAAGCCCAAGTGGCTAACAGCAGTAACTTTCATCTTCAATCATAAGCCCAAGTTTATGAGTTTTATCTTTTATTTAAGAGTAATATTTATCTCAAGTAGTCAAGTTGTCTAGCAGGAAGGTCTTAGGTGTGTCAAGTAATATTTACCTCAAACTGTCAAGTTACTTTGTTCGGCTATTAGAGTTCAGCGGCCATATATTGGAGTTCAGGAGCCGCCGCAGCCAACTCTAATTTTACGAGTATTGAAATTAAAAATTAAAATCTTACTCCCTCCGTCCCTTAAAACTTTGCCAAGTTTGACTGGCACGGGGATTAATAAAGTAAAAACTGTGTGGTTGATTGAGGTTTGTGCAGAGGAGAAAGTACCACAAATTCTTTACTTAAAGGGGAAAGTGTCAAAGTTAGTGGGACATCCAAAAAAGGAAAGTTGGCAAAGTTTTAAGGGACGGAGGGAGTATATGATTAATGGTCTGGTACTCCGTATTTTTTGAGGCCCTCCTGGAAGCAGAGGCCCTAGGCAAATGCCTGGGTCAACTGCCGTTATAGCCAGCTCTGAAGAAAAGGATAAATGTTGGTGGAACCCAAACCTTTCATTTGCTACGGAGTACATTAGTAGTGATAAAGTCAGTTATTCTAGGCTTTAGAGGCACAAACAAGAGCGACAGGCACGCTTACCTCATGAGGGTAAGTCATTATAGAGGCAACTATTTTGGCCAATGAAGAGGCAACTGCAACTTCTCCAGGTCCTAGATCACTGGTACACTTCTCATCTAGAAAATTTCCAGTCAACACAACTAATCTGACAAACAAAGCCAAGAAAAGCATTTTCACAAACAACAAAATAAAGGATTGGCAAAATTCTTACCCCTTTTCGCAAAATAAAGTTTGATCTGCTCATATGCAGGAAATTGGATAGCAACATGACTTATCCCAGCTAAAGAAGGCAAGATGCCACTGTACAAGCCACAAACAAACATTAAAATACAAGTGCAAACAGAGACCTAAAGTTGAAGGAGCACTAAAATTTAGCTTTATCAAAAACGGTCATGAGCTCATCGGGGCATTAAGAAAAAGAACTCCATTGGCATGCATCATAGATGGTTTTAATTGGAGTGTTATCAACAAAGCATATACACTGGACTGTGATACAATAAAAGCACACATTTTTCATTAACTCTGGTTAGAGCACATATTAACCTGTACAATCCTCTGACTCCCTCTTCATGCAAGATTCTTTTTAAAGCAGATGCTACACTTTTATAAGGAACAACCCCCTCTCTCATCCCCTGTGTCTAAACAAAATAAGAATGACACCTCTAAGTGAGAAAAGTAAGCATGTATGGGGATTCAAGAAAATGAGAAACTGCCATTAACCAGAAACATTGTTTCAAACATGAGTGTGCAATGATGGTAGATGCTTAAGATAAAGAGATGGAGATTTTAGAGAATCTTTAGAATAACAATATTATGGTTACTGAAAGTTGTATTTTGGGTTGTTTTTTGGAAGTGATAAAAACTGTGACTTTTTTCAAAATCAGTCCCTCGAATGATGCCTACCTCAGCCATCCTTTAGAAAAAACACAAATAATAGAAGTAACAAGCGAGTAGTGTTTGCACATTGCATCAAGAAAGTGGACATTATGTTAAAATGGACTACAAATGAAACTACTAGGTAGAATAAATATAATGGGGAGAAGGTAGGAGAAAAAAAGTCTGCCCGACACTCCGACCACTTCCATTTAAATAAACTGGGTTACTTCCTACCAACACTCCATGATCAAAACCAGTAGCATCCGATTAAATCTATTTCTGGATAGCTGCATTTGTGAAAGTAGCTAATAGATACCCAATGAAGTAAAGAATATGCTTTTTGTTCACCAGGTGTACACCAAGTACACCAATACCTTGTTCACAGACAAGCTACATTGCTCACAGGCATGAGAATGAGCACTGTAGTGTATCAGTATTCAGTACATTAAGCAAGGTCAAAGAATAATATCAGTACACTGCTTAATATTAGTCACGATATAGAAGGTAATGAATTGAAACTGTACAACCTACTTGTATTCGTGTTTTAACAACCCACAATGGATTTGTTGCAATAGATGTTGCAGCTCCAGCCCCTGAAGCAGCTATCATATTTGCACCAATAGAGAGCTGAGAGCTACTCTCTGCTGCAAATTTCACAAATGAAGTGTGATTAAATAAAGCCTTTTATTGGAAAATAGAGGTGATAAGAGTTCATCAGCATTCATACGCCTCCATAAAGTTGGCACAAAATCAAACAAATTGAGTTGGAAGATGGAACGATTAAAGAGAGCAAATAAGTTGCATAGCATTTACCGTGTGATTGCAGTAATTCTTTAAGGTGCCCATAAACTGTGAAGTACACCTACAAAATACAAGTAATATTTATCCACAAGAAGAAACAAAGAGTATATAATTCACAGTAAGATGAAAAAAGCTAGCAGGAATAGATTTGTGCAATACATGCATGTGTTGGTGTATACAGCTACATGAAAATGCGCGATGTAACCAAGTACTACATATATACTCCCTCTTTATTCTATTTTTTGCTACAATAGGGGTTGACACAATATATTTCATCTCTCTTTTCTTTTATCGTTTATCTTCTTTATCTTTGTATATTCTTATGTTATTTTTATCTTCTAGCTTTTTATGCTCTTTTATCTTTCTATCTTTTATCTTTCTTATATTCTTATGTTATTGTTATCTTATATTTATTTATCTTTATTTTATCTGTTTTATCTTACCCCCCCCCCCCCCCCCTCTGGCTCTCTATTTGGCATCAATATCATAGATCGATTCATGTTAGCCACCCCAAATTCTTTTGAGATTAAGGCTTGGATGTTGTTGTTGTTGTAGGGGTTGACACAATATTTAAGGGAATAATAGTAGAGGTAATGAATAGTGTGGAAAAGTAGGAGAGAGTGTGGAAAAGTATGAAAGAGAATGTGAAAAGTAGAAAAAGTAAGGGTGATTGAGTACTTTTAAAGGGAGGACTTACCAAAAAGGGAAAATGTAGCAAACACAAAAATACTCCCCAAAAAGAAAAGTGTAGCAAACAAAAGAATACAGATGGAGTACTACATAACAGCTCCATTGCAGAACTTAACCCCAATATTTATTTATATGAACAGAAGAAAGTGTACTAGCTTTTTGAAAAGTGAATGTATCAGTGAGAGTCACACTATTCAACAAGGCATCACACTCCAGTTCCTAAAGTATTTCCAAAAGAAATAAAAAACCTGGACCTCTTTTTACATTGCAATCAATAGAAAAAGTCAGTTTTTTTACATTGCAGTCAATACCCACTGGTTTGTTGCAACAAATAATCAAACATTGTTCACAAAACAAATGCTAGCAATTTGTCCGGAGTCATGTCGCCAAAAATTCAACAGCCATACGCCTCTGCACACACAACCTCCTTCCTGTTGTGTCATGTCCATGCATTGGCTCGTGAGGCAGCTTCTGATCTCCTTCTCCACAAAATTTTCTACTTTTGCTCGCAACACTCTGGTGCCTCTATGCTGTAAGTTTCATGATTTTTGGGAAAAATGTTTTTTCCCAAGTTTAATGTCTACTAGTTAGAGAGAAAAAAGGAGCAAAAAAGAAAAGAAAAAGTACCAAATTCAAGTTTTTAAGTCAAGTATTTGAGTGCAATAAAGTGAACTTCAAGTTAAGGATATTTGTGTGGGAACCAAAAGTTCATGTTGAAGATGTTTGTGTAGGCACCAAAAGTCACATAATGTTGAAGATTAAGAGCCTGTTTGGTAACACTGTTATTCGACTTATTAGGCTTATTAGCCAACTTTTTCACCAAACATGTAACTTTTGATTTCATGCGCTGAAATGTGTAATAATAAGAAAAAGTAAGGTTGAAGTTACTTTTCTGGCTGTTTCGGCAGAAGTTACTGTATAGGACCATTTTAGTTATTTTTACATATAAATTTTTCTTTATTTTAATAATAAAATATATTTTAAGATTAATTTTTTCATAAATCAGCAAGATCAACCAATACAGCCACTTAAGCCAGAACTTCATAAATTTCAGCAGGACCAGCCAATTCAACCGATTTCAGTGTTACCAAACGGGCTCTAATATATTTGTGGCTGTCACCAAAAGTCAAGTAAGCTTAAAGTAGAGAATGCTTGTGTGACTGTTTGAGGCAGATAGTTAATAAAACCACATATGGGATTGTCTGTCTTCGCCATGCTGAGACGTTACATGTTGAAAAAGAGTGTTTCCTTTCTTCTTACGGTGCAAATGAAGCGAACATAGGTAACACTAGCGGCTTTAAAAAGTAAGCCCAACTTTTAGAGCAAAAGAAACTTATACAAGAGCCCCTAAACGAGTAAAAAGCTTGAGATTGTTGTTATTTTACACAATTGAAATTCCAAACCACTTGAGATTGTCACAAATATCAGGGTCACCATGCCTGTCACCATGCCTGTCCCCAGCCTCCTCATCCGGCTTCCTCAAATGGCCGCCGCACCCTCAGGTTCGATTCTCTTGTTTTTACATCAATTTATACTCTTTTGTTATTGTTCCAACTTTGAAGTTGATTTAAATGAAATTTCTTGAGATAAATTTCTTTGTAGATGGCGGGTGGGCTGATGTCTATGCTTTGGGAAGGCGCTGCCGCTGCTATCTTGCGCTGTGTAATGGTGTTGAGGTGGACCATATGCTCAGATCATTAGCTTCAATATAGGGCATGTCAACTAGAGCACTTTTTGATAATCTGCTAACTATTCATCAAAGAAAGATTATTTTCGCCTACCTCAGGCCATCTAAGAAACTTCTAAACTTAAAGGCCCCAGGGACTTCAAGATCGTACCTAAAAGGTTATTTTGAGAAGCAGACATAGGAAAGAGTGACTTTGAGAAATACCCCAAATCTAAGAGTTACATCAGGAAGTGTCCCACAAGTCATAAATATAATATATTGATATACTATAATATTGCAAGGAGAAGAGTACAGAATTAAATTACTAATGAGGTCAGTGCTAGATTGTGTATTGTGTAAGCCTCATCGCTCAATGAGGCTTAAGCCTCGAGTTTTGATAAACAAGAATTACTCCCTTCGTCCCATAATTTCATTCCCACATGCCGTTTTGGGATGTCCAAAAATTTTCTTCCTATTTCCTTTTTAGGAATGGTTTCTGTGTTTAGCGTAATAGTAACACATTGTTACTGGAACCTATGTTGCACGGAAACGTGAAATTCTTGAGGAAACGGGAAACGGGAAACGTCAACTTTTGCACACAAAAAGCTTATTTTGAGAGTTTCTGAAGAATTTCTGTAGAGTTTCGAAAACGGAAACGTACTCTTTGTTGAGAGTTTCCGTGCTACACAAACTAGAACAAAAGAAACGTCACAGTCAAGTTGAATAATACATAGTATCCAAAGAGTAACTTCAATACATAATATCAAATATTGTCTGATTGATAATGGTTTAGAGTCTATTAAATCAAGGAATGAAAAATAGGATCATCACTATCTAGAGCTTTGAAGTAGGGATCAAAACCACTAGTATTTCCGCCATTATATTCCACCTTAAGTTTAAAATCAACGATTAAATGGCGTTGTTAGACTGTTTGTACTTCGTAGATTGTCAAAAAGTGCTTAAAGTTCTACTAGCTGACCTCTACCATTGCTTTATAAAACCGCAACAGCTACCATGATATTTTTAATTCAGCAACAGAAACAGCAGAAAGCCAACAATACAGCAGCAACAACCCCTATAAAAATAAAAATAGAAATAAGAACTGACATGTAATGAAGAACTTGGCAGTCGCAAGAGAGAAGTTACATCATAATGTTGATGTTCCTAACATTAAGAACACGGTTAAAAGACTGCAGAACGGAAGACGAGAAGAGAGAACTCTTTCAGAAGAACTGAGAAGAAGATAATGTGAACTAAGTCACTAACATTAAGCAGACACCTTTCGTATTTATAAAAAAGATAAGTTTTTTTGTAAAATTAGGCCCAACGCCCCAACTTAATTAAGTAAAACCCGATGAACAATATTGTGTCAGACTTAAGTGCACCCCAAGACGTAAGTAATAAGTTGTACACCCCAGACCAAAATTGTGTGAGCTTTATTGTTTCCTGTTTTGGTCATCACCTCTTCCCTCAAGGCGCATTTGATTTAAATATCTCAAAGGTGCGCCTCAAAGCGCAAAGGCATTGTGCAAGCCCGAAAACTAGTGCTGTCACCCTATATGTAAGAAACTAAAAACTAAAAATTTTAAAAAAGGACTTGGAGCATTAGACAAAGCACACATGTGGAAATAATAATAATTTATTTCACATCATTTCGGAGGCTAAAGTTCCATGCGTGTGTGGATTGAAAAGTTCATAATCAATGGTAGTCGGGATTATAGATCTTACTGCCCAATTCGGAAGCAGGGCCACCAATGTTGGTGAAAGGCCACGATAAAGTCCCCTAAAACCTTCAGTTCGTAGTATGTGTTGCATGCTGGTAACGATGATACTTCCTGATTAAATTAGAAAAACATATATTTGGGTCTTAAAAGTCTAAGAAACACATGAAACTTTGACAATGAGTATAAAAAGAGTAAAAACAGTGGTTTTCGGTGAATTCATTCTTGAGACGATATTGTGGCCAGTGTAAGACTGTAATTCATCTAAATAAAAATACTTTCTAGTGTGCTCCCCCTGCATGTTTTACCGAATTCTCTATAGTCTAAAAAGTTATTTATAAAAAGTTCGTTACAATTGCATTGCATATTCATTCACCCCTTTTAGTTAAAGCAACGATGCAATGAAGCAACTCTAATGAATCCCTATGTTTTTATGAAAAAATAATTTGTAAATAATTCTATAAAGCTCCCCAAATATAATAAAAATGGAAGTAAAAAAGACTAGGCATACATAGCACATTGTGTTTTTGTAAGCCATAAATGGAGAAAAAATGTAGTTCGCGGGCATATCACACACCAATACAAGTCTGGATGGAAGAAAACAACCCACATTATTATCCTATTGTGGCACCCCAAATTTGCATATGTAATTTAAATTACATAAGCAAATTTAAATTACTTCCAAATGGGCACCAAGTGTAATGGGTTACACGGTTACACCCTTGGCCCTTGGATACCCTACGGTTCCTATTACTATAATCTACTACTCCCTCCGTCCCAATTGGATGGTCTGATTGCGGTTTACGAGGCTTGACGGATGATAAAGCAAACGGATCCATGTCCACACTCAAATTATTTTTAGTAAATAAAATTTACATATTCAGAAACTACATTAAAAGTTTTACAAAGTCGCAAAAAAGAAACATCAAATTTGTTAAGCGTTTGATAAATAAAGTAAGAGATTAAGAGTCATTTGTGTTGACCAAGTGAATAAGAAAAAAGATCATGAAATTGGGACGCAGCTAGCATGGATTTTAATGAATCAACTGTTTTCTATGAACTTCCAAGAATGCCTTTGTGATATGTGGTTGGGAAGAAAAAACATCGTTTTGCTAGGGAGAAAATACTGCACTGCCCATCAAGATGGAGGATCATCATATGCTCCAAGTAGAATCAATTACTTGTTTGTTCTTGTTTGTTCTTTTAAGCATGTTAAACGTGTGAGTGTGATGAATATGGCAGCACATACTTTAGCTCGGTCTTGTGAGTTTAGCTGTGACTGGGTTTATCATGATGTAATCCCGGAGTGTATCCGGGAAGTACTGTGTAATGATCTTACTTAATCTATGTTATGCAGTTTCTCTAAAAAAAAGTAGAATCAATTTAAACATAACCCAAGAAATGGAAAAACTTGAAGTCGGAAACATGATTTCAACTTTAACTCTTGAAATTGGAAACATGAACTTCAATTAACAATCGAACTTCTTTTTGAATTGAATACACTTGTACTTTGACCGGAACACTTCAACTTCTTGTAAATGCATGAGTATCCTGAATTTGGAACTTGTACATTACCATGCAAAATAGTCAACCACTACTTTACCGTGTTAATCTTTTTTAAATTAAATAGTTGAGCATACGGAAATAGGTATTATCGGCTTGTCCCTTGTGATTCAACTCTAGCAAATCAGTAATCGGTCCATTGATTTCAATTTGTCAATCTTTTTACAAAGTGGACTATTCACCATCAAGACTGCTTCAGATTAAGGAGAGGCTACTATTATATTTATTTTTTTAAAATCAAATTTTTCTCTAGTGCCACGGTCACCACTACTAAATATACCAACATAAGTCTAGCACTCTCAAGCTCACGATTTCACCATTCTCAAGTCGCACTGGCATACTAAAATGTCAAACACACACACACACATGACCGCACACAAATTTTTTCTTTTATAAATGATAAAAGGAAGACGCACCTCTACGTCCTGGCTGAGCAACCTCGGGCAGACCATGGACTTGCAGTCTCGTCTTAATAACATCCAGTGGACAAACAAATGTCGCAGCTATAGCACCTATACAAAATCCAACAAATCAGGTAATATTTCCCTTATCTTTTGAGTGAAACCCTAGCTAATGCCGAAGACAAGAGTTGCAAAATCAGACAAATCAAACATTTCGAACAAATTGGGTAGGAGTGAACTAAACTAACCAGCGGCGGCACCGGCACCGGCGTCGAAAAAGATTTCCCTTACGCTCCGGCGGTCACCGGCGGCGGCGGTCATGTTAGCTGAATAGCACTTGGTATATCTTAGCTAACAATAAATCACGCGATAACAATGAAACGAGAAAAAAGTGTCCCGGAAATCACTTGAACTTCGGAGAGTTGGACTTGGTACACATCGTGGTACAATGTAGGTAAGGTTTTTTTATGTCTTTATCGTTATGTCTGTACAGACTTAAAAAAATCTTACACAGACATGTGTAAAAAGTGTGAACACCAAAAGTGTGTAATTTTAGAATTTTTCAACTTTGGAATCCCAAGAGAATGAAAAGAGGGTAAGATACTTGTCCCGGAATTTTACATGGTAATTTGGTGGTCCGGTGACTCCGGTCTTTCTGTTATAGTCAGGTCTGGTCTGGTCTGTTTTGGTATGTTTTAGTCTGATCTGATCTGGTCTAATCTTAAATTTTATTTTTTATATTTTTTGCATAAAGATTTTATTTTTTATATATATTGTAATACATAAATAATTACAGAGTACTAGTATATTTTATTCATTTATAATTAAAAATAATAATATTCCTTTCAAATTATCGAAAATTGTTATCGTTTTACTTGGATTGATTTCAATCCCAGACCGAAGCAGATCAGACCAGATCATATAAATACAAAACAACTCAATATGATGATGATGATAATAATAAAATATGGTCTAGTCTGGTCTGATCTGGTCTGGTCTGTTTTAGCCTGGCCTGGTCTGGTCTGGTCTGTTTTGGTCTGGTCTGATCTAGTCTGGAACAAATTACAGTCCAAGTAAAAACAACCTGAAAGTAATATTGAAACTTTATGAGAAAAATGGTCGAATAAAGCCTTCTACTATTATGAAATAGTCGCATAAGGTCAAGGTCATGTACTCAATAAAGTGTCATATAAGTACCTCTTCTTGTAAAAATCAATCAAATGAGTCCTAATGACCTATTTAACATCTCTTAATCCCGGTTTCAACGTACTTCTGACCACCTTTTTAAAATACATTATACGACATATGTCGAATATTTAAATAAGATTGGTTGAAATACAATGCTCTTATCCGTACCAAATCTCTCTTATCCAAACGGACCATATGAAATACGGCTTATCCATTCATAAAATATTCTGATTTTCTATTTTTGGATGGAAATCTTGTCAAAAAGTGTTTTGTTCTTTAACTTATGGGTTGATCAATGACATCTATTTATTCAAATTTATTCTCCTTTGTAAATTTTTCGTTTCTGTTTACTAATCTAATATTATTACTACGTATAATATAATGTAAACGATATTTGACTCCTGGGTTTTTAAACATCTAAAAAGTTTGTTTTCCCTGTGATTTTTTTATTTGTGTGCACGCAATGCAATTTGGTTTATATAGGTTATTACTCATATTAAGATTTTTGTCGGAAATATGTAAAAAGTATTGCTACATATTTGCATCAACGAAAAATTTTGGTTGCTTAACTAACGAGCAAAATCAATGAGAAAATAAGAACACTAGAGAATTTCTGTCCAGTCCAGTTTAGGTTATCTTCAATATTATCTTCAATGGTTTCAAAATTACTTGAACATTAATTGTAGTCACAACATTGTAATTATCAACAATAACCACATATATGTTTCATCGATCATATTCTCTCTCTGAAAATGGGAGCTTCGTTTTCGTCGCTAGGGTTTTTCCTCCGCTATCATTTGTAACGAGGAGCGGCCATCGCAGGCGGGCTTAAGCATACAGGGTTTCTTCTTCCGCCATCAATTGTGCGGCTATTTTCTTCTTTTTGCTTTGGCGAGATTAAGCGGAGGGAAGATGATGCTTGGTCTCCAGCGGCCGAATGTTGTGCACGGATGGAAGACAAATGCTTGGTCTTTAGCACCCCAAGGTCGTGGATGAAGCGTGAGGCTAGAGGGTGGAACAAATCTGGATTCAAACTCATTCGTGATAGGTGGTGACAGAGGAGGCTTGGTAGAGAACATGACAGAATAGGCAAGGCGAGGAAGCGGCTACAGTACTGCTGGATCGCCCCCCTCCTGAACCACCGCCATGGAATGCAGGAAAGTTTAAGGTTTGGAAGCAGTATTTTAATTTTACCGTTTGCTTCCTTTTTATTTTTCATGATCAGGCTGTTTATTTTTCTGTTTGTTACTTTTATTGTTGTAAGACTCTTACATTAGGATTGGGTGATGAGAGGCATGCTTTAATCGTCGTTGGCTCATTCACTCATTATAGGATCAGCGAGTCATATTGCTTTTGAAGGTGATTGACTCTAAGTCTGATTCGAGGCCTGGTGATTGTTTGTGGTCCTTTTGTCATTTTACACTCATCAAATGAGTAGTGATGGAGTATATTCTCATATACCCCAAGGGTATCAGACATTCAAATACAAATGAAGTCTCCAAAACACTAAGTCAATATTTTGTCGAGGCTGACCTCCACCCACCCGAGGTCGGCGCAACGTCGAGCTCCCAGATCATCCAGATAAGGCTAAACCCAAGCCTGATAAGTACGATAATTACTTATATTTTACATAGGTAACTATATTCATCTATACAGAAATATGTAGCGAAAACAGGTAAATATTTCAAAGTGAGCAAAAATGTGAAAGACGACTAGAAGCGACAAATATGGGGTCAAAAGTCAAAAAGGGATAGAAAACCGACACTTCTCGATCAACCACGTATGCTGAAAAAGGACTATAAAAGTGTACATTATATTGCCAAATCGCAGCAATCGACACTGGTCAGGCCACAACCGGTGTCGATCGGATGTGTTTTATGAAGAAAAGGGGCTTGTAATCACCCAGGGCCGGTCAAACGAAACATCTGGCGAAAAATAGCTCCAACCGGCACTGTTCACCTGACCAACCGGTGCCGTTCATTTCAGTATTATGCGAAGCGACATAGAATCGACGTCGGTCAGGCTGAAATCGGCGTCGGTTGGGTCGATTTCTGCACAAAACACAGCGACGTGCAACATATTCTTTATGGGAAAAACTCGCTTTCCATATGATCTGATCAAATATTTCTTCCATGCCTGATTGTTGGGTTCGAATAAACTAAAAGATGTCATTCTTTAGCCTATATAAAGCGCTCAATTCAATAAACAAGACCATCCAATTCCATAGATTAATTCTTAGTTTTTATATTTTTGTTCTTGGTATTTTGTTTAAGTTCTTGAGGAGAGAAGATTATCCTTCGAAAGCATTGGTGTTTAGGTATTATTTCCTTTGTAATTTCATATTCTTTACGTTTAATTGTTGTATTGTAGTTAATATGCGCATTAGACTAATTTCTTAGCTAAGATTAGGGGTGAACCTTTGTGCCCATTAGGTGATTGATAAAAGTTCTAAACCAATAAATTGTGATTTATTTTTTATACTTTGATTGTTTATGACTATGGTGTACAACATAGAAGTATGTTAAATTTAGTTTATGCTTGCAATTAACGTTGAGGTCTAAACTATGAATATTAAAGGATAAACATATATAGTACTGAGAATAGAAATATATCTGGTCTTATATGATACGGGTGTGATGTCTTGATATTCAAAGGGGTTTTCGGTAGATGAATGTAATCCGTAACGGGACTTACACGTAACGAAAATCACGCTCTCGCTGCCTTAACCGGAATTGAGAACCAGTATTAAATCCTATTATATTGAAGCATTTAGGTGAATCTAGCTTGCCTTAATAATTATCATCCTTGTTTAAACCAATATCAAAGAACTAAAAAATTACATGTTTATATACTTTGCACTCAATACTCGAACTTTATAATATCAACCATTTCCCTGTGGATCGACCCGGTATTCAATAGGTATCATGGAAGATGTTCTTGTTAAAGTTGGAAAATTCTACTTCCCGATAAATTTTCTTGTTTTGGACATGGAAGGGATGGAGGTCCCCGTCATCCTTGGGAGATCATTTTTGGCCACTTCCACAACCGTCATCGATGTACAACCGGGCGCCGTAAGACTAAGAGTGGGAGGAGACAACACAAATATTTGGGCCCGAGGATCCTCCAACACACCCCGAGGATGAAATGAACAAAACAACAACTCTGCAACCTCCTTACGAGCTCAAAATGGTAACTCTCGCCAACTATCTTCGGGAGTTAAATCACACATAAGAGGTATGTTTCGTCTGGCCTATGACGTTAAACTTAGTGCTAATTGGGAGGCAACCCAAAAAAATCAATTATAAATAAATATGTTTATTAAAACAAACATGCATATTTATCTATAATTGAAACAAAAAAAGTCAAATATTAATTACCCAGGCAGTGACCGGCGCCGGTCGCATCACTTAACCGGTGCCGGTACAAAACAGACGACCCAGTCCCATTTTAACATGCCCAACCGATGCCGGACCCACACATAACCGGCCTCGGTCGTCTCTTTTAAAACAAACTCACGTCACAAACATGACCACACACAGCAACCCCTACTCCCAAATTTTGAGAGCTCTTCGCCGGAAAACACCACCAAACTGCCCCCTAGCATTGGATATCACCCCTACCAACCCACAAAATTAAGTACCCCTTTGTTGTTATTAGTATGGCATACACTTCTCTAACACACTTAATCGTTGACGTTGATGGAAGTATTTGTTTTCTATGAATCATACATTGGGACAATATATTTTAAGCGTGGGGGGGGGGGTGCATGTCATGGGTAGTTAAAAAAATGTGCGCACATTTTTTTTAGAAGGTAAACATTGTGATATTTCTCTTTTCAATGAGTATTTTGATCGAGAAAGTTTTTTTCTTATTAATCACAAAACTATTATTTTTTTAGATTTATTACCCTACTTTTTACTCTTGAAAACCATCCCCAAAGGAAACTTTGTGACTAGGAAACACCATCTTCTTTCATTTCCAAAATGGTCAGAATACATCTAAATGTTCAAGCACCATTTTGGAATAGCAAGCCCTCTCTCATATCTCATCAAATAAATTGACATCATCAAATGAGAACCATTTCAAACGAGTTAAAAAAATTATTAGCTCATGGTCTCTTCTAAGAATTTCAACTGATCCATTCATACACTGAAAAGTCAGAAACACCAAAAAGCCATCTCACACACCCAAAAAGCCCTAGTCACAATCCATGCATCAATTCTCAAGAGTATAAGATTTTT